GGTACTCCAAAGTTTGGACTAGTAGATATCGACACATACCAGAAGTATACCAGAATTGGGATTAACACCAGATTTAGGTTGTTGTACCAAAAGTTGGCAGTGCTGTGTCAGCGGCATCTTTGGTTTGTTTGTTGCGATTAAGTGTAATCACATTTCTCAGTCGCAAAACCGTTAGATATGCGCGAAACGCTTGAATTGTGGTGCGGTATTGGGGATGGCGGTCGGAGGATCAGGTTGTGTTCAAGTAATTTCAGATGTCTCTGGGCTCATCAGATGTATGTTGTTCTTTGCCAAGTCACACCATGTCTCAGTTTACATTTAATGGCTTATTTAAATATTCTGGAGCAAAGCTGATAATGTAATGATTCATTACAGCACAACTTGTCAGTTATGAATGCTGTGGCCTAGGCTACCGGCTGTTGAATGCTTGTGGAATACCGCATGTGAGGTGATTGGCCAAGATGTGCTCAGGTAGATTTATGTTGGAGCTGAGGGTCTTGTTATTTGTTAATACATGAATGTTGAGACTGTTGTCTGATTGGCACTTGAATATTCGACATAAGCATTGATAGCCTTTGTCCACAGTGGCAATACCACCCATGAAATGGGCCAACCAGTAATTATGTCAGTTCAGCACTGCTGTGTAATTGCATTAGATGTGTTTATTGAGACATGAAAGGCACTGCAATGTAACGGAAATGTTTGGTATGATGTAATGTTGTGCACATACCTGATGACATTTTGCCAAAGGAGTTATCTGCCTGCACTGTTTAGAAAAGGACAGCATGTTGTATTTATATAAAAATGTGCATAACTGGGGCTTAGTTTTGGGGTCTGTTGATTTTATTTCATCTATTTAATCTAAGGTCCATTGATTGTTTGTATTGCCTTGAGCCAAGGCTGCATATGTTTCAGATACTGATGAACCTTCCAAATCTGTCTAAACTGCCCATTTCACTTTGGCTGCCTAGGTGTACCTTTCCTACTGATGGATCAATGGATGCAAGTTAAAGTTATAAATTACAAGGCTTGATGAGGAATAAACAATTATGTCATATTGAAGTTCCAAATATTTATTTTGCAGGTTTTGTGATGTGAGAGCAAGATTTTTCAGCTTAATTTATTGACTGGAGCCAATGATAAAATGTTTGTATTCGCCTGATGCCAAAAACCCTTTGTGCAAATGGTTTTCAGGAGCATGGTTACTTCGGCCATAGGTCTGACAGGTGTTTAAGCTCTTCAAGATTAATCAAAGAAGTTTTATAAATTTTGTCATGTCAGGGCCTTTGTGCAGTACAGCTCGCCATTATGGCATTTATCATTATAATGCTTGCAATCCCACTTTTAAGCACAACTGCTTCCCAATCAGCGGTGCTTGCAATGTTACTATGCCATCGTTGCTATGCTGGTCCTGAGGCGGCATTGCCGGCCCTGCACAACAGTGGCCGCCAGCATCACAACTTAAGAACCTAACACAGTGCCTGGTCCTACCTCTGGGCGCGTTGGACGGTCAGCTTTGGACCGCTACCGTCGCGATAGGTTCCATACGTCAGGCACAATAATGTTGTGCGCCCCAGCCATAGGCTGTTGCACATAGCCCGATGGCTGCATAATGTCAGCCAGGTATATTTGATAGACACAAAAAGATCTTATGTGTATTCCTTGTAATAGCTCGCAGCACATTTCACAGCACAGCAGATGCATCTTCAGGCTATACATGATATGCACACACACACACACACACACACACACACACACACACACACACACACACATATATATATATATATATATATATATATATATATATATATATATGCGTGTGTGTTCATATATAATCATAATATTGTTGCACTCAATAGTTCTATGGCCAGTCAGTGGCCGTATTCACTCCGTGTTTCATCTCAACTCTGCTGAAAAGAGTTGACGGCAGCGGGATTCGATCTCACGCCTACACATCGTGGTGCGTGCATGGGTCTGCACTTTGCCTGATAGCTCGAAAATGAGTACCACGGTGCACACTTTTGATCGTGGAAATCGAAAGAGAATTGTTCCAGCTTCATTTCTATGCACTTTTCATGCATACATATGCTCAAGATTTAGAAAGCCGTGGGCCTGAAGAATGTCATTTTAACATGGGAACCCTATGGCTAGTCGTGAAATGTGTGCCGTTGCTGCCATATATTATACTAGACTTTGGACCCCCGCCCCGCGGGTTTGCATAGCAAGATTATCAAGCAGTTGAAATATCACTTTTAAAGTGACTTTGACATTAATTGACATTTTTTCAGCCTTGCAATGAGTTTTTTCCAGGAAACATTCCCAGAAAACAAAAAAGAGAACACGGCGATAGAAGTTCGATAGCAAGACCATCGAAGTTTAGCACCTCCTATTACAAATTTTGGGGCGAAGCCCCAACCATACAAAGGGCCTAGGCTCCAACTACGCTGAACGGACGTCGTCGTCATGGGGCTTTACGACGCACTCAGCTGCTTGGGCTGTGTGGTGCCGCCTGCCTCTCACTCTGGCAGGGTGGGCGGGCGCTACTGGGAATCGCACCGCGCACCTCTGGCTTCCCAGACGTGCAGTAGTTGACCACCGCGTCATCGGCACCCCACGCTGAACGGATGTAACATGCCATTGGGCTTTACGATGCACTCAGCTGCTGAGGCCATATGGCGTCGCCTGTCTCCCACCGTGGCAGGAAGGGCGGACACCGCGGGGAATCGAACCCGGTACCTCTGGTTTCCCAGACGTGCAGTGGTTACGCTGAACGGACAGCAAAATCGTACAATCTGTGTATGGAGCGACAGCGTCAGAACTGTCTCTTTTTCCTGTTAAAATAGCTGTCTAACTGCCTTTGGAATAGGTCTGTCCTGTCCTGTGTGGGCTCGGCTTTGTCCGCTCCATACACGCCAGAAAATGGCGTTCCACGGAGTAGCGTTCTCAGCTTCGCACTCTTTGCCATTATCGCTCAAGACATAACTGAAACCCTTCCTCCACTCGAGATGATTTTTCATGGACGACTTTGCCCTTTGGATTAGCGCACGGCTAGCGCAGCTTCCGAGCAACTGCTTCAACTAGGTATGGGAACATTGGAAAGATTGGGTGTGCTGAACGGGTCTCAATTTTCTGCTGCCAAATAGTATCTGTTCATTTTGGCAGAAAACGTGACCATTGTCCCGGTTCATAGCTTGTGTTACACGGGTAAGAAATACTAGTTAGACAAGAAGCCAAGCTCCCACAGGTCGTAATCGATGGCAGGCTGTCATACCGCTCACACCTCCGGGGTTGCTGCTTCAAAGCCTGACATATTTTAAAGGTTTTGACTCAGATTGACTCGGCTTCGCAGACGGAGAACAAACTTTTAGACAGAGCGCGCCATGACGGCACCCGAATAACCACAGGAGCATTTTCGTACTAACCCTGCTTCACAGCATATCGGTGCATGCGAACGAGCGCCTTTTGTATTTGCGACGGAAACTACTGTCCGCGCGACTTGTAGCAAAGATTACAATCTCCTTCCCATACCACATACTCGAGCATTTCTTCACCACGCGTTGTGAACCTTTTCACTTCTTCCCATGCGCAGGCTGCGCTAACCATCCCCATACGTGCCAAGCAGATATTTGAGCGATTGGACATCTCAGTGAATATTGTTGCTCTCGGTCCAGAGCAAGGATCTCACCATGGCAACTTCAAACACCCAAGTGTAACTTCCACCTCTGCAAATCATTAAAGAAATGCGCAACGGCAGAGGAATACCGCCCGGAGTTTCTGTGTCATCTGCATGTCGTGTATGGGGGGTTCCGTCACATATATACTGACGCATCAAAAACTAGCGCGTGTATAGGGCGTTGATTCGCATCAGGAAACGAACGAAGATGTTTTAACTTGTGTAAAAATCGCTCCATATTTACCGCAGTTGTTTGCCATCCGCGAGGCTCTGCGTTTAGTGCATCTGCGTGACAAATCTATGTACGTAATATTCTCTGACTGAGCTCTCTGGTGACCTTACAAGCACGTCAGCGGCACAAAATCGATGAGGAAATACTATACGCATTGCTTACCATGCAGCAGGACAACAATCATGTCGTTTTCACTTGGATGCCCCGTCGCGCCCAGATAAACGGAAACGAACAGGCTGACTCTCTGGCCAAACAGGGCACCCACGGCCTTGGCTTGGCGTGGAAGAAGACACCAGCAGGAGATGTCAAGGACGTATTTTGTAGTGATCTAAAATCACGATGGTAACGCATTTGGGATTAATTGGATACTGATATTGCCCGGAGACCAAGCAAGCTCCGAGCCATTAAAGCGCACGTCAGCGAACGGAAATCCTCTTACTTTAAAGACAGAACAGACGGAGTAAAACTGAGCCGGTTGCGCACGGGCCTCACGTACGAAACGCAATCTTACCTGCTTCTTCGGAAGCTCGACCACTTTGCCGCAGATGCCGAACGCCTTTGTCCGTGGCTCACGTAACAGCTGAGTGTCGGAACTACAAGACTGAGCGAGACTGCTGTTTTAGTCTGAATTACATTCCCCTGTCTTGGCTGATGGGTGATCCGCCTGCGAGCGATCTTCGAGCAGTTTTCGCCTTTTTCAGAGATATTGACTTCAAACGTTTGTATTCAACGACCTAGACAGGTGGAAGGTGGGCCAAGTGGCCTTTATGTGACTTGTTTTCTACGCTGTACGGTTCTGGTGCACAGCTGACGGGCCTTCGGAGTGACTAGGACATTGAAGACAATCTGCTTACATAGTTCTGATTATAGTGCTGTTGACATAGGTTCTTGACAAGACATAGGCGCAAATAACCAATGCAGTTGACGAGCTCTTGAAGCTCAATAACTGACTGGAATGTGCATGATGTAGCTGTGTTCGTTTTCATTAGTTATATAGTGAGACATTGGTCTTCGCCACCGCTTTTACTGAATGAAGCTCTACTTACTTGGGGCCAGTATTGGACGTCGAGGTCTGGACCGAAAATTGTCAGCGCTAGTGATCTTCACTTGTATTGTACCATCAGGCGCCTCCCACCCAGCACCAACACGCATTCGAGAATAGTTTCCATCGTCGCTGACCACAGAAGAGGAGGCGTCCCGGTCTTCCACGACAATTGATTGCAAGCGGCCGGGTTCAGCCATACCGCGGTGCCGCCCGTACCTCCCGTTTCCGAAGGTTCCTCCTGCTGGCCCGCCGCCCATCATCCCCCTTCACCAAAGTGTTCTCGGTTTGACGATGGCCGGGACTGTTCGCGGAACTTCCGCACGCCCGTCCGGAACCGCCACACCAACACGGCTGTCCGCTACCCGCCACAGCGTGTGAACCTGAGCCATACTGACCTTCACCAGTCGCGTACCCACGCGTGGCAATTCTGAACTTCTGCCTCGGGGCTGGTCGGCCATTGCAACCGGGGAACTTTGACCGCCGAGGCGTGGTAGTGCGACACCTCTAAAGTGAGTGTGATAAAAATATGCTGTGATAAAAATAAGGACAATTTTACACATGCAGTTACCACATGCTCGATCACGATTTTTGTTACCACAATGTCTACAATCAAGCGAGCGACTCCTCTGAGACTAAAAACGTTCCACACGACGTACTTCATGTCGCTGGAGAAGCTGTAAAACTGCTGCCGCTGAAGTACATGGCGAACCCGGCGCCTGGGGTTCGCCGCCTGGTCCCTGCAGCGCCGCGCCATTCTACAGCATGCATCTACCGCCCGCCCCCGCCGGCAAACTCGCCTGCGCCGCTTCCGTCGTCCGCGGCCGGGCGCCGCGTCACTGCTCGCCGCACTTGATCAGCACCTTGACGGCGCCGCCGGCTCCGGTGCGTGCCGTCTCGAAGGCCTGCACCGACTGCTCCAGCTGGAAGCGGTGAGTGATCAGAGGCTTCACATCCACCAAGCCCGCCTCCACCAGCTGGATCGCCGCCGGGTAGCAGTTGGCGTAGCGGAAGATGCCGCGAATGTCGACCTCACGCACGGCGGCGTTCACGATCGGCACGGTCACCTCGGCCGGGCCGAGGCCGACCAGCACCATCATGCCGCCGGAGCGCGTGGCGAAGATGCCCAGCCGGATGCTGGCCTCGGCGCCGCTGCACTCGATTGTAACGTCCGGTTGCCGGCCGCCGAGCAGCTCCGCCACGCGGCCGGCCAGCGCCTCCGCGTCCTTGCTGTCGACGAGCAGCGTGTGCTGCGCGCCGAGCCGGGCCGCCAGCTCCAGCCTTCCGGCCGAGATGTCGGTGACGACCACCTCCGTGGCGCCCATCGCGCGTGCCACCAGCAGGTTGACGAGCCCGATCGGGCCGGCGCCGCAGACGAGCACGCGCTGTCCGGCCGTGATGCCGGCGCGGCGGCACGCGTGCACGCCCACAGAGAGCGGCTCCATCAGCGCGCCCTCCTCCAGCGACACGCTGGCCGGCAGCCGGTGGCAGAAGTCGGCCGCGTGCTTGTAAAAGCGGCACAGGTTGCCGTCATCCGGCGGCGTGGCGCAGAAGAACACGTCCGCGCAGAGGTTGTACGTGCCGCGTTTGCAGTGGTCGCAGCGGCGGCACGGCACGCCTGGCTCGATGGCCACGCGGTCGCCGACCTTTAGCGACGTAACGCCCTCTCCCAGTGCGTGCACGACGCCGCTCGCCTCGTGGCCCAGCACCATCGGCTTGCGCAGCACGAAGTCGCCGATGCGGCCCTTGGTGACGTAGCTGACGTCGGAGCCGCAGATGCCGACGGTGTCAATGGCGACGACGACCTCACCGGCGCCGGCCTGCGGCATCGGCAGCGCCTCCATCCGGACATCATTCTTCTCGTGCAGCACCACGCCCAGGTTGTCGGCCACCATGGTGAAGGGCTGGGCGGAGGCTACGGTTGGCTAGGTGGTGCTGCGGATGGACAGAGAGCTGTCAGACACATGGGCCATGGAACTGTATCAGGACTGGGGGAAGGGGGGGGGAGGGTCAAGTCTGACAAAGCAGCCTAACATCAACTCAAATGCATCATGTGACTGACTGACTGTTCTTTCAGATTTGAAATGGTGGTTAAAATATTTGCCATACAAAGCAGATCTGTTTTGAAGAGATCATAGGTTGGGCTGTCTCCAATTTGGGGGCCACCTCCTATGGGAGAAAGCAACCACTAAATAGAGAAGCCTTCGAGTTAAGGCTATGGCTGGCATTTAAAATGGTTTTGCTGAGACCTTTGACCTATGGTACTGGGGTGTTGAACTGCCCAGGACTCCTCCTAATGGTGCTCTTGGTCTGATCCCAATACTGCTTTTGCTCAGATTACTTCAGACAGTTTCTGGTGCTGGCCATAACAATCATTACTACAAAAATCAAGTTGTTCATAAAATGGTCTGTCCTGCCAGCATGAGCTAATATCTCCACAAGAACCAGGAGCAGCTGTTCAAAGACCACTCACCTCCCCTGCATAACAGTTTAAGTCCTGTCTCACTCCATAATGGGGTGTGATACAAACCTTTGCTTAACTGAGCTTTAAATCAGAACAGATTCAGAAATTAGTTGACAACTTCCTTAACCAAAACCCACCAGCTCATTTGGAACACAATAACATAGAATCATATGTGGTTGACCTATTTAGGGCTATGCTGAACTTAACAAAACTTTCTTTCACCACATCAGTGGTATGCAAAACTAAAAACTATACATGCTCATGCTGAAAGGTAGCAGAAAAAATATGATTGGCACATAAACAAGCTAATATTATGAAGTGAGCCAGGCAATTAAAAACACATTTTTGATTTATCTTCCTCACTTTGTATGAAAGCTGTGCCAGTTGGGTCAGACCTGCGCAAAGTCACTGGTGGGTAATAGCAATAATGGTGAAGCAGTGTGTCAAATTCAGTTTTCTTATTTCCATTCAGGTCAGGTCTTCAACTTGGCTTCAGTTATCTATGGCAAGGATCAGGATGTCTTTAAAAAAAGCTGATTGAACTGAATTCCGAGTCTGCTAAGACTGGTGACCCAGGAGAGACATGAAGCCTAGGTGGGAGTGTCACTACTGCATCCAACATTCAAAGAACTGTCTGGTAATATCACCACATAAACCAAAGAGATGTACAGCTCAACATAAAATGCACCTACATAAATTTGTTGCTTAGTATGCTATTTACCCCATGGGCTTGCATAGCAAGATTATCAAGCAGTTGAAATTATTACTTAAAGTGACTGACATTAACTCACATTTTCCCAGCCTTGCAATGCATTTTTCCAGAAAATATAGCCAGAAAACAAAAAGAAAGCAAGGCGATAGATGCTCGATAGCAATACCATCGATGTTTAGCACCTCCCATCACAAGTTTTGGGGCGAAACCCCAACCATATGAAGGGCCTAGGCTCCAACTACGCTGAACGGACGTCGCCGTCAAGGGGGCTTTACGACGCACTCAGTTGCTTAGGCTGTGCGGCGTCGCCCGCCTCTCACCCTGGCAGGGCGGGCGGGCACCACGGGGAATCGAACCCCGCACCTCTGGCTTCCCAGACATGCAGTCGTCAACCACCGCGTCATCGGCATCCCCACACTGAACCAAGGCTATCTCACTGAACGGACAGCAAACTCATACAATCGGTGTATGGAGCGACAGCGTCAGAACTGTCTCTTTTTCCTTTTAAAATAATATCTTATCCGGCAGGCCGCGATCATGTACGTTCTCATTGTGATAGGTCTGTTGAAACGCAACAACGTCATTCCAGTAGAAAGCACAGTGCCGTTCGGAATGAGTATTTTACTCCTGATTTAGCATTAAGGTTTTATTTGTTTCCTGTGACAATACGACTATCAGTGTTGTGAATTTAATGCAGTTTCATGCACCCATGCTACGTGCTTATGAACTTAATAACATACTTCACGAAACAGTTAACAGCACGCGCATCTGATACGAATTCAATCAAACACGTACAGGTGTATGAACACCTGTACGGTGTCAGAGAACACAGGCGAGCTAGACAGTAAATATTCGCGTAGTTTGGCGGACGCCGCTTAAATGCGTTCGCGTTCCCCTCCTCCTGCGCCCCGTGCGGGGGACGCGGGCGCGGGCCGTGAGAGGAGGTAGCAACAAGGAGAAGACTTAGAGAGCCGCTGGCGCGAGGACGGACGCACCGGAGGGACGGACTGTGTGGACTGTCTGCGACGAGCGTCAAATACGGAAGTGGCTTCGAACGCACCGTGTGTAGCAGTAAGCCGGAGGCGAGACACCAAGACAGCGGAACTTACACACCAACAAGAGATCCATTGCGATCAGCTCATCAACTCGTGCCGCATGAGTCGTGAGAGCGGAAGACAGTCCTTTCTCGTTTCGCATGCTCAGTATTCATAAACCTATTTCAAAAAGTCATGTACCCATGTTACACGACAGTTAGCCACGCTTAAGCACGAAGATGCATCATGAATCGCATGGTGTACGCCCATACACTCGCTGCCCGTGGGTCAAGTTATTTCCGCTCACTGGCAGCCGTTTCTCACGCCCTTGAACTTCAGTCATTATGCCTGTATGTCTGCGCTGCAAGTCCATGCCCCAAGGGTGCAGTGTCACATTCAGCTGGGGGCTTCGGCCCTTCTCCCCCCCCCCAAGTTGGTATTCAGCCCTGCCCCCCCCCCCCTCTACCCTTGACACGAAAGTGGACCATGTCTTGAGAGAAACCTGTTTGTTGGCGCACTTTGGGATGTTTTTTTTTCATTTTCCATCGCTCCGCACCCTTAACTTATTGTCAGAAGCCATGTGCTTGTTATGTTCTCATTCGACCCACGTATTCACCTGATGAAACACTCATGCCAGCGGCGGATCCAGAGGGGAGGGCACGGGGACATGCTTCTCTTTGGGCCCTGGAGGGCCCAAAGGTTCCAAGAAGCCTAAAGTCGGCCGAAATGACGGTATTTGAAAAAAACAGAATTCAAAACAATTGGACGTTTTTGCCCTTCCAGGCGACGAAGAACAGTCGCAAACGAAAGTGAGGAGCTCACAAGCAGACAGAACTGATCCTTCGCTGATTGAGGAGGTGGTGATTGTGAGATTCTCAGGCTCATCTGGCTGTCCAGAAGCCCTCCACTGTTCCCTGGGGCCCCTATGTGTCCACTCGCAGGGTCAATCCGATCGTAAAGAAGCCTTCCACGTTACCCTTGACGCATCTGCATTTCCTCGTGGCTCCCAGCCCTGTTGTCGGGTGGCATTTTTGCTAGAAACGGGCCACTCTTGTCAATCAGCAGCCTTCCACGAATCCTTTTCATATTCGCCCGAAAGGCTCCATACGCTTTAGCAGGGGGCTCCATGTGCTAACCTGCCGGAGTATCCTCGGTTGCTCAGGGGCCCCTCACATTGGTCTCGGTTAGCCTACCCGCACCCTCGCGATATGTTCATGGGCCCTCTACATTGGCCTGGCGTCCTTCCAATTCCTGTCACTTGCTTAGGGCCCTCTGCTTTTGTCGGGTCACATTTGTTAATCTATTCGGGCACACTCAATCGTTCCGGACCCTCAAAATTGTGTATTGGGTGCTTCTAAATACCTTGGAGGGCCCTACGCTTTTGTCGGGAGCCCCATCTGTTACACTGCTCGGGCACACTAGACTGTTGGAGGGCCCTCCACATTCGACCTTCGATACTTACTATTGGTTTTTGGGGACCCTACGTTTTTGTCGGGGACCCCATCTGTCAACCCGCTCGGGCTCACTCGACTGTTCGGGCGGCCCTCCGCATTGGGCCTTGGGTACGTTCCATTTGAATGGAGGGCCCCGCACTCTTGTCGGGCCCCAATATGGTAACCTGCTCGGACACATGCGATCATTCCAGGGCCCTCGACATTGCGTGTTGGGTACTCCCTATTTAAGTAACGGGAATAGAGAGAAATACGCTCTTGTCGGAGCCTTGTTAGTTAAGCTATTTGGGTTAGTGGCGGATCTAGGGAGGAGGGGGGAGGGGGGTAGCAAGGAGTCTGGCTCTCCCTTTTGTGCCCGAAGGAGCCTCATAGGCTGCGAAGAGACTCATAACCCGCCGGACGGACGGAGTTTTCTGACGCAAAATACAAAAGAATCAGACATCTTTGGGCCTCCAGATGACCAAGAACAGTCGCAAGCAAAAGAAAAGGGCCCGTGAGCAGGCAAAGGTAATTCTTAGTTGATTGAGAGGGTGGGGACTGGGGGAGATCTTGCGGCTCATTGCGCTGTCCAGAGGCCCCACGCTGTCGTCGTGACCCTATCTGTCCACTAGCCGGGTCAATCCGATCGCTAAGGAACCTTCCACGTTGCCCTTGACCTATTTGTATTTTCTTGTAGGGCCCTGTGCTGCTATTAGGGTATTATCTGCCAATATGCCTGGGCCTTCTAGATCGATCAGGGGCCCTCCATTAATCTTTCCCATTCGCCTGGTAGGCGCTATGCACTATGCCGGGGCCCCATATACCGGGGTACACTCGGTTGTTCAAGGGCCCTTCATTGAATTCTCGGGTTCTCTCCACGTGTTCGAAACGGCCTTGTGCTGTTGCTGGGGCCCCATATAAGACAACGCACCGGAGCACTCGATGCCCAGGGGCCATCAACATTTATTTAGGGCCCTTGAACCCTGCTCGGTAACCCGCCCGGGCAATCTTGATCGCACATGGGCATTAATTCATTTACACTGGTCATGGATAATTTCCCTTTCCTTAACGGATCATATCCTCCGACCGGGGCCCTATATTTGGTTTCCGTTTTATCGGAGGACCCCCGTCATTGGCAGGTACATACTTCTTAATTGGCCGGGGCACTCTTTATCGCTCCGAGGCATCTTGCATTGGTCGTGAGCCCTTGCACTGACGCATGAAGGATCTCACTTTGTTGTTGAAGCCGCACGTGTGCTTTGCGAGCGCCAGGGCGTGTTGCCTGCTCGTGTGTACGGCCTGGCTAAATTATTTCATGTTCACAAGTCCGAGGCTATAAGAAGGCAACTTCTCTTGGTGACTAGGCAGGTTAGGGCAGCTGTCGGGTATGTGCCAGAGATTTTTATGCGAGATTGTCGAACGTAATTTTAGGCACGCAGACGTCATGTATGTTATTTTCGTCGGTTGTTGACTTTGTGGCGCTTGTTATGCTTGTGTACTACGTTCTTAGAATATTTTGAACGCTAAGATATGTTGTCCTCTTTCATAACAGGTAAAGCATAAACTTTGCATCAGCCATTAGCCATCAGCTGATCACAACGACCAGCCAGCTAGTTGTGAATAAGCCATGAATCAAGTTTGTGTATAATTGTCATGCGATTTTAGCAGTGAACTATAGTTGACTTCGTCCTGTTTTTTTCTCGAAATATTTGGCCTCAAAATGGCAGGATCCACCATGATCTGAAGAAAATGAACAAGCTCAAGGTACGTCAATACGCAGTTCCTCGTTTTCTAGGGCTGCACACAGTAAAATGGGCTCCCGTATGCAAGATAGAAGATATACAAGTTTTAAAATACAATGTCCTGAATACGAAGAATGCTTAGGGGATTCCCGACCTAAACTCTAAAGGGGTCCCACAATGTTGCGTGCCCCCCCACCCCATTGACGAAATCCTGGGTCCGCCCCTGACTCATGTTCCCAATCAAGCATGCCCGAGAGGCCAATCGAGCATACGCACGAACCCAATCAAACACATCCGTGAGTCCGAGGTACATACCAATAAGCCTAGAAAAAAAAACAGTTACGCACGTGTGGAAAATTACCATGAACACAGTGCCGCGCACTCCGCCACCCGTATTTCGTGCCCACGAACCGCAGATTTTGTGACTTGGAGGACCCATCGTCACAACGGCACCAGCTAAATTGTGATAATACGTAAAAGGCGTTATTTCCTCACAGCAGAAATATTGTTAAAGTGATAGTTTATTGTTTCACTGAAGGACTCCATCGCTAGTTCAACGAACCCAGTGAAAGGCGCACATTGGCCTTGGTACTTCGGTGTACCTTGATATTCAATTTAATACGCCGATGCAGCCGCGCCACATACTCGCCGTCCACACCAGCCCGCCCCTAGGCATGCACCTCATGCGGCACGTTCACGCACCCATGTAACAACCCATGTCGGCGCGTCCACGTACCCATGGCACATCTATGTCGGCACGCAGGTGCGAGCGTGCGCCGCGCCATCTCACCTTGTCGTCGAGATGGACGCGCAGCAGGACCGAGCTGCGGCACAGCGGCGGGACGAGAAGCCCAGCAGCGTCCGTCCGCACTCTACACGCGACTGCTCCCCCTCCCGGACCAGTCGGCAGGAGCGGAGGCAGGAGCCGACTGCGGGAGGTTTCCGCAGTGTCGTGTGTTGTGAGCAGGGGCGGGTTTTAATCGAGCTTGCCTGCTCTTCGTTTCACGTTTACGACCCATTTTGTCATGGACCTGAGCACGCCTCTGCCAGGGACCTTGGCTATCGCCGCTCCTGAATAACTTTGCGTCTTCGTGTGGACTGTGGGCCGCACAAGACCAGCGTAAGCCCTGGCTGGCGCCCAATGTACCTCATATCCGAGACGTTTCTGCTGTCTGGTGTGGTACCTAGTTCGCGTAGTGCAGTGCTGTACGGGCTCTGTTGCGGGTCAGATGTGGGGAACATGTCTGTGCTATCCGTTTCCTTGCATGCAACGTCTCGAGCATAATTGTGCATAAGTTGGTGTGGCTTGCCATTTTCTAGCCAGTTCTGGAACTTCTCGCGACTTTCCCTTTCCCAGTGCCTCCCTCAGCGATCTGCTCGTTCCTAGTGTGTTCTCTAGTGGATTACACGTCACTAGTGCATTTCCTAGAGATTCGCCCGTTCCTAGTGCCTCTTCTAGTGATCTGCTCGTTCCTAGTGGCTTTCCCATGCGGTGGCCCCTATAGAACTCGCGCCTTCACGAAAACCGGACCTGATAAGTTCCATGGTGAACAGCGTGGATGAAGTACAAATAAGCAGAGTCACAGGAGACCAGATGCCTCCTTGTCATCGCAGTTTATTTTAACTTGCAGTGCTTGAACTGAGCTTTCGGTCGATGCTTGGTGAGTCGCAAAACATCACCTCACACTTGCAAGTATCCAGCTGATGAACTAAAAAGATAAATTTTACGTGATTTACTTTGATCCTAGAATTGATGAGCTAAATTTCCGATCTTGAAGGGGTCATCCGGGCACCCTGCATCCAGACGATCGAGATTCCTCAGCCCCTTAACGCTCAAAGAGCGTTCAGGTACCCATGACGGCCACAGGGTCCAGATCTGTAGTGTCCGTGCCTAAGACGGTCTCTATCCCGGACGGTATTGGGCCCCGGACACTCGATAGATCTGTGCGACGAGATGGAGAAAAAAGCAATCGTTACAGTGCCACGTGACCTACACCACACTGCCACGAGCATATGGAATGGCTTATAATCGAGGCTTGCAGGGGTGTGGTTTAACACTTATGCCACACGGTGTCGGTAACATAGTTTGTGAGGACTGCTGTTGCATTTTACGTCTGGGCCCAGACGTTTAGGGAGGAAAATTCAGCAACAATCGAGGTCATGACAAATAACTACGGTCCAAGTTTAGTATGATTTTAGCGATATGTCACTTGCGCAAGACGTCACTGACACCAGAATGTGGCAACATGTCACTTGCAGAAAGATAATAACACACCCGGTATCTTGATAGTATTCTGTTTGCTGTAGTTGACTGCTGGTCCGCAAGGTCATTCACCAAGCAAGAGCGGATTCAGGGGGGGGGGGGGGTTGCGGGACCATGTCCTCCCCCTTGGACCCCGAGGGGGCCCATTGGCTCCGAGGGGTCCTATAGCCGGGCGAATAGGTTGAGTTTTTAAACACAAAATGCAACAAAACTCGACATCTCGGGAATTCCAGGCGACCAAAAACAGCTGTGAGCGAAAGCGAAGGGGCTACTGAGAAGTCTTATTCAATGATTGGAAAAGTTGTGAGCTAGAGATTTTAGGCCTCATTACACCATTTAGCGACCCCATGCTGTTTACACGGGGGGGGGGAGGGGGGTCTACATGTCCACTTGCATGATCATTTCGATCGTTAAGAAGCATTCCACATTGCCGTTCATTTCTTTGTATTTGCTCGGAGGGCCCTGTGCTGTCGTCGGCGCCCTTCCCGTTAGCGTGCCGGAGCACTCTTGTCAATCACGGGCCCTTCCACGGGTTCTTCCCATTTGCCAAAAAGGCTCTGTGAGCTACAGCCGGGGTCTTTTCGGCTGCTCAGGGGCCCTTTACGTGGACCTCGGTCAACCTACCAACACACTTGCGATATGCTCATGGGCCCTCTACATTGGTCTAAGGCGTTTCTAATTCTCTTGCTTAGGGCGCTAAACTCTTGCGGGCGCACATCTGATGGCCTGCTTGGGCACACTAGTCGTTCGGGGACCCTCCACACTGGGTGTTGGGTACTTTTTCTGAATGGGGGGGGGGGGGGGAGGGGCCCTACGCTCCTGTGGTGAGGCCTATCTGATAACTTGCTCGGGCACATTCGATCGTTCGCAGGCCCTCTACATTGGGCCTTGGGCACGTGCTTTTTGAATGGGGCCCTACGCACTTGTCGGGGCCCCTCTGTTTGCTTCCTCTGTCAAAGAAGCGTCGTGACATTTTCTTCATTTCCCCGCTGCCGGTAAGTATATCATCCCACCCAAGCGCTTTTCATGAGACGCCACACGCTTGAGCTTGGTACCGAATCTGGCATAATCGATTCCGATTCCGATTCATCCCATACTCGTGCTGGCTACAGCACTGGCCCGGGGCAACGCAACCAAATTTCGTTGACTTCGACTCTGACTTAATACGAAGCGGCAATGTGACTTTGGAATCGGCTCCAATAGAAATTCGGTTTTAAACAGCTTTGAATGTGAGCTATTTCATATAGGCCTACAGGAGGCTCTCATGAGACTTGAAAAATGCGGAAAAACGCAGGGATGTAGTTTCTCATGCAGTTCGAGGGGGTTTTGCTCTCCCCCCCCCCTCAAACTTGGCATCAGGCCCCCCTTTCCCCAACTTTGAGACAAAGCTGAGTCGAATGTGGTGAGAAACTCGTTTTGGCATATTTTGGGGTAGGTTGAGCCACCTCTCGCTGTTCGGCAGCCCCTCCCCCCCCCTCCGATCATTGAGTGAAAGTGCGCATTTGACGAAACGTCACTGGGTGGCAGGGGTGTAGTTTCGCAAAATAAGGCGGCGGTGGAGGAGCTGATCGGTGAAAATGACGAAATCTGTCCCCACACTCGTCAACAAACGGGTTCCTTTCGGATTTGGCTCTCTCTTTTCAAAGTTCGTAGGGCTAGAGTGCAGTCCAAGTTGCGGGGGCTTTGGCCCCCTGACTGAATCGGGTGCTGCACCTGGCCGGGTGGAGAGCTCAAACAGCCGCACTACTGCCACCTGTTTAGAACAAAGAACGACGCCACCGCCATCTGACCGTGCTTAATAACTATGAATAGGCATGTCCAGCGACATGATTTGAAAAACGTCCGTCGAGAAGACTGCATCTTGCACCCACTACAGGCCTAAGGCACATGTTACCAGTACTGATTATCGAAGTGTTCACCCTAGGCAAAATCTTGCGCAACGTGCTATTTAGAGCCAGCGGCTGATTACAATTACTGGAGTTAAATGCATATTGCTGCAGGGCACAGGCTAGTCTTGCCAAGAGGAAGTGAAAGTAGATTTACGGCCACATCTTGTGTCAAGCTTACAATGGACACTAGTTGAAGTTTATCACGGTACTTTGCTAAAATGACACTGATAAAAATATTTACGGACCTGACTCCTTTGCTGTTTCTCGTTATATACCATGTGAAAACCCGCAATACTTTTGCCCCTGGTTCTAGGTGAAAAGCACGCAGAACGCTTTTCATAAAAAGATCCACGCTTCATACTATGCTACGCTGAACGATAACTCCCCCCATTCACCCACCCTGACTACGGTCCTGACGGGTCAACCTTGAAAGTCAGCTGTCTTCAAAACGCGTGCGCGCGGCGGTTCCAACGCAGACCCTTGTCACTCGCCGGGTCGTGTGGGCGGTGGCCCGAGCAGCATTTTCGGCATCGGAATCAACTTTTGCACCGAAATTGTGCGCTGCATTTGACGCCGTGTAGGTGACACATTGCCAACATGGAGACGGTTTCCATGAGTATGCCAAATTACTCGTACGTTTTTAAGTTTGAGGAAGATTTTGCTGAGAAGGAAAGGCGTCAGTGGATGCACGAAAATTGGTATGTCTCCATTTACTATATTGGTGCATACATGGTTTTCATCGTGTTAGGCCAACACTACATGCAGTCGCGTCCTCGGTTCGAACTTCGAAATACTTTGGCATTGTGGAATTTCTTCCTCGCTGTGTTCAGCATCATCGGCACCATGAGAACCGCTCCTGAGATGATATTTGTCTTAAGACATTTTGGACTGCATCACTCCTGCTGTGTTGCTGGACCCAGGTGAGAAAGTGTTAATGTCTTTTTACAGGTAAGCTTGGTCATGGCTGTATAGTTTGTGTCTGTGTTGTCTTGCACTTTCCTTGGTTTTGTCTAAATTGCTGGTTCTTAGGTAACAAAACATAATACTTAAATTTGGCTGCAAAATTATGTTTTTTTGTGCTAGTCATGGTAAATATGCTCAGGATTGTTTTTTCAGCTTTTATAAATGAAGTTTTTTTGTGAGGTTGTCAGGAATACTGATTAATACCCATGACTCATGTTTGAGTATTGTAGCTGTTGATATCACATTTTTGTTTGTCTTTATTCAAAACATTATTTACTTCAAAGCCTTTTTGACTTTTCCAGCCCCTTTAGAATAAGCTTGTTTATTTTGAAATTTCTGACACAATACAAAAACTGCTGTATGCTAAAATGATATGGTATGGGTTGCACAGAATGTTGCATGTCATGCATCAGTGCAGCTTTGAGTTCTAAAATTGTGCTTACTCCCCACCCACTGCATCTGTCTTCTGATTATTTAGATTTAAGCACTAAGTCATAGCAACCTTGGCCATGAAATTGTCATCAGTTACAATTTAAGAAAGTCAATTTTCATGTCATCAGATTCCCAAATGCACTTAATGTCTTTTATCAGATAACTGATATGATTTCTGGCTTGAAGACTGCATGGTGCTATCTGTGTTTCTCAGACTTTTGGCCATGGGTCATTGTTGATGGCAGGTGTAGGTACTTTGGTTTGCTGTTTTTTGTGGTGCATACTGAGTCTTCCCAAATTATCAAAGTTATCACTGTATTTCATATACATATGTGGGGATAATGATGCAGATGAAGGCAATTTTGAACATAAAAGTTGGATACAGCAGATATGCTGCTCACAAGGGTTACAACAATAAAAATGTTTGTTATGTCATCTACCTCATTACATGGCAAAGAGTTCCGCTTTAAAGCTGCCTGTGTTCTCCTTCATGAAAAACTTGTTTAGTAAGTCTGTGTCTTCATCTTTGGTATGATGTGATGTGTTGTGCCCCTGTGCTGTCATGAGACACATGTGACACATGTATCACCTGACAGGGTGGTGCAGCTGACTGGTTTTGCTCTCACAACTCCCCCAATTGTTGGGTGTTTGACTATGTTAGCTGTGTGCAATAGGTGTAGTGTATGCAGCCCATTGCATATGGTTAGCATTTGAACGTTGTGTGTCTCAGTGGGTGTGGTTTTCAGTAGTGCTGGGCCCACCTGATGCATTAAGGCTACCATGCATGGTTAATAGGATGAAATGCTATTGGTTGAAATAACAAAGCTATCAGTAATAGAACAGGCAGAGATTAGTATTGTCCATTTTCTATGTTGTGTGCTTGTGGGGATCATGTAAATGTGTCATTATGTGTCCTCTGCTGCCCCCTCCCCTTCTATGCTTTTGCACACTGTTCCTTCCCACCCTGTACCATGTATTCAAGTGTTTAGTTTCCATACACATTTCTTTTCAGATTCAAAGAAAAGTTTAATGCCCTTTTTTTGCTTCCAGTTCTCTCAATAGATAAACCACCTCTTTTACATAGGAGGATGCCTGCATGCTGTCTTTTGCTCCAGGTATGTATGTACCAGCTGTGATGTGTTGCTGAAGGCAGTGCAAGCTTAAACAAGGTAACTCACTGTTGCATATTTTCTGCTCCATTCCAGTTTTGTACAGAACAACACTGTGTCTGCCTTCTGGAGCTACCTATTCACCATGTCAAAGGTTCCTGAGCTCGGTGACACGGTCTTCATCGTGCTGAGGAAGCAGCCGCTGATATTCCTGCACTGGTATCATCACGTTACCGTACTTATCTTCACCTGGTACAGGTCAGTCACATGGTGCACGCTGCCTACCCGTCTGTCCGCATGGGCTAAGGGCGTAGGATGTTATCTTACTTTTCGGATCAGAATCGTGATCTTCTGCCACATGGGGAAAGACGTTAGGCTACTGAACTGCTGTCGACTCGACGTGTTTCAACTGTTCCCAGTGACGAGGTTTCTCCAGCATATGGATAGGTATGCCTTTGAATGCGTGCTGGTATGTCAGGCGTGCTGTTCATAATTCATCGGCATCCAAAGGCATATGGGCACGGCTCGTACACGCCTGAGGGCCTCATCGCTTCATACGACTGGCTGTCGTGAAACGTTGGAGTGGGGGCCGGTGAGAGTTATTCTGTGAACGACAATGCGGGCATCATTAGGACGCATCTGAATCCCGACAGCTGTAATTATGACATAAGTAGCCACGTGCCCAGAGCGCACTTCTGATGTCTCGATATCGCTCTGTCATGTCCTAGCGACCCGATTGGCCACTTTTTGCCCGTTTTTTTTCTCATGCGCACTACTCGTGAGACTGGCGTAAACTCATCGGGATGAATGATGATATCGTCATAACAAAGACAACTCATGAATGAGACCTCAGGTCGCGGCGAGCGTTTTACGAGAGGGTATTTTTCTCTCACGTCCATGCCACGATAGTTTTCCGCGTGATCTAAATTGCGCTATATTCTGGCGGAGACGTCCCCTGATCGTTGACTGACGTGCTCAGCATTCTTCTGTGCATAGTTTTCAGTATTGCACCAATGAGTTTTAGGCTTTTAATAAACATTCATGGTACTAAGTCTGGCCATGGGCCCTTGTTGAGGCCGGTCATTCTGATGCTTCTAAATCTAAAAATTTTGGGTCATTGGCTCATATTCGGCGCTGCGTTAGCCGCCGAGTTAGCAACTTGTTTTTTTTCTGTGAGGCATGTGTTCCTGTTTATTTAGCTCGTTCTGGTCTCGGTCATTTAGCTTGGGTTGCTCTGAGCCCTGTTCTTTGTTAAAAAGCTGCTAATCGCTTTGTGGGTAGGCCTCGAGTGGTTTCTGGCCGCTGGGGGATTCGAGGTTTCCAGACTTGGATCTTGAATTGACTTGAGGAGGGAAACGAGTGGGAAGTCGACAAAAGCACTGGGCTCGCATCGAAGAGACGACCCCATCAGCGGAGGGGAAATGTACGCCCCGTCCACTTTCCATCGAGCGCCGAGACCAACTAGATTACGAAGTTTGCCGATGGGGACATAATGTAGCCGCGTCGTCCTCATTACGGGAGTCTTTTTATAGCGCCGTCCTCATCAGGCGATGGTGCGATCGATGTGGATGTCGGTCTTATGACAAAAGCCGGCCTGACCGGCGGGAGCGCGGCGCCGCCGCGTGCGCCGCGGACTCCCGGCGCGGCAGTGTCGACGCATGTTTGACCGTTGCCGGCGTGATGTTTGCGCTTGATGTCGGCTTAAGTGCGTAGGAGGTTTGTTGTGGAGTCTGACAAGTCATGGTGGGCGGTGATGGCTTGTCGAGTGGGGCAGACGGTTTCCGAGAAGCTATAGCCCACCGTTTCCTGTCATGTTTTGAATTGAACCTGCAAAATCATTGATCGCGAATTTTTCCTTGAAGTCTTTCGCCAGTGGGGAAAGACCAAGGAGCGACGCCCTCAGGTGGTGCTCCTGGTACCGTGAAAGGACCACGTGGGGTTTTCCTCTGAAAAGACCGTGTAAAACATCCTACACTTTTTCATGCCTCGTGCTGCTTTCTCGCGTTCTCGCGTTGTAAGCTCTGTCTTCTCGCGTTCAAAGCGCACCATTGATAGTCCGGCACGGTCTGGCTTAATTAGCCTGTTGAGACTGCACGCCTCCAGCCGCCTTTTTGCCTGGGAAATCCTTGCGTATGTGTGTGACGGGCGGGGGGGGGGGAGGGGGAGAGCCGCACCGTCAGGCGTCGCTCTGCCGCTTTTTCTGCGTCGTCGCCGCCACCCATCCGTCGCCGCTGATTGTTGTCGGCGGGTCGGCTTCCCGCGCACGTGGCGGCGCGCCGCCTCGACGGAGGAGCTGAGCCACACGTGGGTGGTGATAGTGAAGTGGTTAACGCGTCTGCGTTAATCTCTTCGTGTCTGGGAAACCAGAGGTACGGGGTTCGATTCCCCGCCGTGCCCGCCCTTTCTGCCAGGGCGAGAGGCAGGCGACGCCATGTAGCGCAGCAGATGAGTGCGTCGTAAAGTCCCAATGGCCGCGAGTCGAGCAACGTGCGTCGGACGCGCGCTGCTGCCGACCTGGGCTACGCCACGCTGTGCTCTGCTGTGTACTGTGCTCCGCTGTGCTCTACCGTGCGCTGTGCTTGCCTGCGTGCGATGCTGCGGAGAAGTGCTACGTTGTGCGCGCGCACGCGCGCTGGCCGGCCGACAAACGCTGCGACGTGCCTGCTCAAACACCAGGGGTGCGGTCGTGTCGGCGCTAGGAGGTTGCCGTGCGAGGCGCTGGCCGTGACCCAGCGTCGAGCGCTGGGTTCGGTGCGCTCGCCGGTCGGTGCGCTCGCTGGGACGTGTCCGCTGATGGGGTTGTGCCCGTGCATTTCGGTTGCCAGGCGGCAGTCGGGATTGACGGTGCAGGTCCTAGAAGGCTGTGCTTGCGCTGGTCGCTGTAATCTGCAGTCATCATGCCGGCGATTTCACTGGACGTCTTGCCGGTTATGGGCGCCTTCCAACGGCGGGGACCTCTGCGATGTTAGAAATTTGACTGCTGTGCGCGTGCTTCATTGTTAACCGGTCCGCACCTGCCGCCTGACGCCTGAAGCCTGGTACACGCCTGACGCCTGACGCCTGAAGCCGGGCACACGCCTGACGCCTGAAGCCTGGTACACGCCTGACGTCTCGTCGGTCGGTTGCGCCATTCTGCCGTCTGCGCCGTTTCTGTATTGGCGGCATGTTCGCCGCCGCCGCGCTCCGTCTGCATCCGCTGAGGCCGCTCTCTCTAGTGCGGAGCCGGTTCTTCCCCTCGTGTCGCGCCGGTCCTATCGTCGTCCGTCGTCCTTCAGCTGTCTGGACGGTGGTCACGTGCCTTCCGGTACTGACGGTGGCGCGCTGCTGGCTCTTGGTTACGGCTCCCGGAGCAACGCCGCGGGTCATGCTCGTGCCTGTCGATTGCGGCGATTTGGGCCTGGGCACGCGTCGGTGCTTTGGCTCAGGTGGGGTCGAGCCGCTTCAAGCGCGCGCCGCGTTTGGGCATGGCGGCGATTTGCGTGCGACGGCCGGCGCCGGTCCTCGGTCGTGAGGAAGACTGCAGGTTCGACGGCGGGTCACGTCCGGGTACATGTCGCCACAGACGGGGGCTGGGTCGGGTGACCCCTCGAAAGAAAGCCGTCGCCGCGCCGGTTGCGGCCGCTGTGACGGATGGGACAGCGGCGTGGGTGTCCGGTTCTGTTCGCGGTCTCGAGTGAGGCACGTGAAGCCGGCGGGCCAGGCGACGGCGGCAGTCGCTGCAGCTGGGAACTCGGCGCGCGGTGGTGCCGTCTGTTCCGATAGAGCCCGGTTCAGGCCTTGTGCCTTTACCTTGGCCTCTGGCCCGTTACTCTCGAGAACACTTGTTAATGGCTTTTCGTGTGCCGCATCTGCCAGTATGTGACACTTGTCTAATAACGTTCTCGGTGCGTAGGCACCCTAAATGTGGGCATTACCGTGTCATTAACTGGGCCCAGGTGTTTCCGTTTAACCCTTGGACAGGTGTCTTCTTTCTTGTACGTGCCGGCAGGCAGCTTTTTTCCACCAAACCCATCCGGAAAATGGCCTGACATTCGGTTCATTTGCTGAAACGCGCGCTCGGGTGGGGTTCAGTTTGCCCCCCCCCCCCTTTGAAAGTTTTTCCAATATATCGTCCCAACGGCATCGGCACAGCGGCATCAAGCTTTGTAAAGTTGGTGGCGATTGACTAGCCGATCTTTTGGGGAAAAAATATAGATACCTTGTAAGGTCGCTAGCCTATCGCAGGTTAAAGTCGGGCAATGGCTGTCGGCGAAGGCAGTTCATGGGGAAGCGCTCAATATGTTGCGACAACGTAGTGTTAGACAAAGCCGTGCGTCTTTGAGATGGTTTCTTAAGATAACTGTACAGTTGAAGTGAGGATTACTACTTTCGTTGACCTCGGGCAGGTATGGAGGGCAGACTAACTTTAAAAGCAAATCGCTGTATTACTCTATAACTTGCATTATTTAGGAGCTATCATGCTCCTTTCTAATGGATGTATGACATTTGCGTCAAAAATGTGTATTCGACTTCAGGAAGGCCAGGAAAGGCCATTGCATTAAAACAACCTCGGTCAGATTTTTCCCTCACGGAACATGCCGCCTGGGGTGAAGTGCCTGGCGCCTATTGTGAATTCCAATATTGACATCCGGACGGTTTTGGCGACTTGCCCTCCGCAGCTCAGACGAGTTCACTGGCTTGTCAAGAGCAACAGGAACATTTCGCTTATAAGTGGTATCTGTATTCAGGCTGGTTGTGTGAGTACATCTGAGGGCACTGTCCACCGATGTGGAGTTTGACCCGGTTTGACATTATTTGACCCGAAGATCACGACCTGTGGACGTCCGAATTTGACTCGGACGAGTTCACATATACTTATCCTGTGAATTTAGTGGCCTAGCTCCCTTAGTTTGTATACCTAAGGGGCCCAGCTCCCTTAGTTTTTATACCTAAGGGGCCTAGCTCTCTTAGTTTTTATACCTAGGCTGCCAAAATTGACCAAAATTGCCAAAATCCGGTTTCAGCGCATTTAACCGGCCGCCCGGGTGCGCGTGCAGCGCGTGCTACGCGTCACTTGCCCCTGACTGGTATGAGGTGTGGCTATGCTCGCGGAATCGATGCAAGTGTGCGTAAACTTGGCGTATCTACGGGCGGCCAGCACGACTGAATGACGCCGCGTGGCGCCATGTCGCCGGGGCCACCAGCCCCCATTGAGTTTGGTCGGTCTGGCAGTATTACTGCAGCACTACAACACTACACGGGTGGTGCTTCCTTTACCC